ATCTGGCCTCTGCCTTGTTTTGTTAAATAAGCTTCTGTTGGAACATGGCCATTTCATTCATTTACAAATTGCGTATTGCTGTCTTCCTGCTTCAGCGGCAGAGTTTAGTAGTTGCAGCAAAGATGGTTAAGGCCTACAAAGCCTAAACTATCTGCACTCAGGAGGTATCTCTGAACATTACAATTCATGGAGAAGTTTTGCCAACCCCTGACCTATGCTAACAAATACGTACACATAATTCCTCCTTTCAAGTAGCTCATAAACTAATATAGGGTAAGAGAAGGGAAAATAAATGAAACTGGTAATATGAAAAACGTTGTTAAAAGTACATTCACAAAATATGGCAAAAATCACTAGATAAAGCACACTAATTCCTCGAGTTGCTTTCTTTTCAAGCAGTTGAGCAAAGAAAGCGCCTCACGGGGCATGTATTTCTGTTGGATCTTAAAGCATAATTATGGGTTTTCTAAGCAGAGGACAGAAAAGGCATCTGAGGCAGGGAAAATAGCATGTGAAAAAGACATGAGGGTGGGAGGCAGAAGGACATTTGGGGATGGTGGGAAAGGATCACAGCAGAAGAAAGTGGCCTACGCGGGTCTTTACACTCCTTATTTCTTCCCCTTGGATCTTTCTGAAACATTTGTCATTTTCCAAAATGCTCATTAATACACTTCCCTCCACCCCCTAGAAGGTAAGCTTAACAAGTATTTGTTGAATGAATGAGTGACTGAATGACTGCCCAAATTAATTCGTGGCGTGGTCCGTTAAGTGTAAAAGACTGCCGGGAGTCCCAGAGGTCACACGGTGTCACCCCCTCTTCCCGCTGACTCTGGTTTAGTGACTTGGGTACAGCTGCCATACCTCATGCGTTTCCTCTGAGCCACGCCCTTTCTGCTCCTGTCTGCGGGCCTCTCTCCTTACTAGAGATGATGAAAGCAAAGGAGCAGTTGAACAGTCAGCTTCCTCCCAGATAGCTGTAAGCATTATGGCTGTTTTCCTCCTCTAACTACAAATACAGTTCAAAGTCCTTTTCTGCAGCTCTGGCTGGAGTTCCCACAGCAGCTCTGGTCAAAAGCAGTCAAACCTGCCCCAGATGCTTTCTCTGCTGCCTGGATCCTGTGATCCATTTTTCTTCAGTCTCAGCTGCAGAAGCAAAGTCAGAGATTCACAGTGTCCGTGGCCTAGTTAAACTTAGTCTATTCCATTTCCACAAACAAGAGCTCTGAGACAGTCCTTGGACGTGCAGGCCACTCAATGTGAAGAACCAGGTAAACACTGGTGAACA